CCTCACCCGGCGGAGGAGGCTGCCACAGCGGCGGCACAGAGGGGCGCTCTGTAAACACGTCACCTCCCCATCATCTTCCGTCAATATGTCAGGTAACTGCGCTGCTGCGCCAGTGGAGAACAAAACTAGCCAATGCTGTTTGCTGCGGTGAAACCCTCTGAAGAGTGTGAACCTTGACTACTGTTGTGATCATTAGCTTGCTCTCGTATCCAGCTGTCCCTGGTGAAATATCTAGGCCAAGTCTACAGATCTGCTTCACCGAGCCGTGATCTGGAGAGCATGAACGCGGTAATTGGTCGCCTCCCTCAAACACTGCGTGGTTTTCTAATTGCCCCGTAGTAATAAGTTAGGCAAGTGTAATACCCGTTAGTTTGTTCGTTCCGTTTTCTCTGTTCATTTTTCACGCTGGTAGGCGTGAATGTGAGTAAACAAACGAAATGAACTTGTTAAACCCGCAGTCGGTGCCTGCCACCATCAATTGTTGCTTCGGTAGCCGTATACACACGTGTACATGCGAGCGCACACTCGCAACGGGTGTGTAATAAAACCGTATCTAAGGGGAGAACACTTAAACCCAAAACCTTGTCGTCATTTGGGTAATGTAAACTCTATGTTTGTACTTGTCTGCAAGAGCCTCACGGTTTTCGAATGACCGTAACACCTAGAAAGAAAGTAGACCGTAATCAGTAGTTGCTGTATTGGGAACAGCGGGCGCGGTTAGTAAACTTCTGGTCATGCTGTATCTAAATTGCACCATAAGCCCGTCACCGTCTTAGCCAAGTCCGTCAGAGTTGCAGTGGCACTGCACTCTATGTACAGGAGACAGCACCCGCGCCAGCACCGCCAATGTGCGGTTACCGCCATTTTCTGAAAAGACACAAAAACTCAAAAGCTGCTTCATATGATTTGCACGCTTTGAATGTTTACCAATATCGCCTGGTACGTGAAGGTTCAATTATTGCCGTTAACTGCGCACAAAGAGAGAAGATCTTGTCACGCGATGGACTGCGTTACTTTACACAAGCGGCCCGCCGTCAATCGTCAGTTGACGTGCGTCGGCTTCGGTCCTTCACCAGCCTTCCTGTAAGGCGGCGCGCGCAAGAAGCTGAAGTCGTTGGTGACCATCGTGATGACAGCGTGGATGCTATGTATTGGTCTCTTCAATTGGTTGGCACGCCAACACCAGGTCTGTGACCAATTTCAGCTACCAGCATTGAATGAATTTTGCCGTTATTTGCCATGTGGTTTCCGATGGTTGCAGGACGGTCTTGTCCGTGGCCACGACGACGCGCAGCCATTGAGGGCCAGATTCACGGGATGTCTTTAACAGTTTTGGACTACGTGCTTGGCCTACCTGACTATTTGTGTCATGCTTCCATTCTGGCGTTAATCTAAATCACGCAAGCTTGTCCGAAGAAGACATGGTTTGCATGCGTGTGGCTAACGTATGAGTATTTCCTATTTATATTCCCATTCAGTTAGGCGCGCAGAGAATCTGAAGCCATTCTGATGTCCATCTGTGAGCGTTGACAGAAACTTCCAGCCGCTGAGGCCCATCTGTCTATACTTTTTGCCCCCATTACAGAACAGCTCATGACTCAACTTTCTTTAATGAGCCAAGAATACAGCTTAAGGAAGCGGAGCTTCCCCCCCCCCCGGCCTAAGCTCCGCACTTTTCTGTTAACACCATAGATGAATTCCGACGGAAAGAAAAGATAGTCGTGCTTAATTCCCCCCCCCCCCACCTACCTTAAGAAAATCCTATCTGCGTTCCTAAGATGAGCCAGCCTCTAAGTTGCACGCTTTTTAAGGGAATGCCTGCTTGTTATTTATGCCGTTCAAACACAGTCGCAAAATAGATTATATTTGGCGCGGATGAGCAATCCATGCAATATCGCTCGTGCTGCGCACGCTCACCAAACGTGCTCCAGGCGCTGTCCGTGTTATGGTGTGCTGGTGTCACCACGTTGCGAGGTGACCGTGCCAAACGACGGCGGTAGCTGCACAGCCCACCCCTCCACGCGCTGCATGCTTATGTTGCCTCCTTTGTTCCCACGGTAGCCGGCGCTCGGGTTCCGTCGGCCCGCTTTGAACCGACCTGATTCATTTGTGAAGCGGCGAGGCCTTTAAACGCCTGTACCGTCCAATTACCATCCGCTGCCGGGCCGGACCGAACCCGCGCGCGCTCCCCAGCGAGACGGGCGAGCCGCACCGCCGCCTTTAGATCGGCAGCCTGCAGACGGCCGCCGACGCGGGAGGACCTTGTCGGGTGACGTCAGCGCGCCGGTGTTGCGCCCGCATAACGAGCCGATCGCTTCCCACGGGCTGCCGCGGGCCCTGCGGCGCAGCCTACCCCGCGGGCGCCGGCCGCGCCCGGCCGCGTCCGCGCTGGTAGCCGCTTTTTACGATAATCGACACTGAGAATCTATTATGGCGCGCTGTTACAATAAAGGGGCTGGCGTCGGCGGCCGCTCGGCGCTGTCGGCTTTTTCTGCTGCTTTATTGAGCGGGAGCCGCGGCGGCGACCGCCGGTTCAAACGGCCCGCACCCGATAGCATCTGTGCATTATTACCGGCGGCCGGCGAGCCTTATGGCTCGAAACGGCCACGTCACCGGATTAAATCACGTCGGGAGCTGTTGCATGCCGCGGCCGATCTGCCGGCGGCGCCGCGGCCGCCACCGCCGCGTGTCACCAGCCGGGCGCCCGGGCGTCGCTAGTGTTCGACTCCCGCCGCCGCCGTCGGCCGGCAGCCGGCGGCGGCGGATGGAGACGGGCGGAGGCGCGGGGCGTAGGGGACAGTCCGCCCGCCGCCGGCCACCGAGCCGTGACCGCGCGGAGCGCCCCTGAAGAGGGCTCTTCGCCGTAATCCGAGCCTTATTGCCGCCATCGCCGCGCGGAGGAGCCGGCCGGGCGCGGCGGCCGGTTTACTGCGGCGGACTGCGCTGATGCTGCCTGACCCGCTGACCAGCAGTGCCGGGGCATAATGAGCAGGGACCTGCCGGCATTCCAGCAGCAGACGGCTAGTTCGCATCAGCGCTACTGATGCTGCAGGTTCCACAAGCCGTGCCACTGCCGCGTTCTCACCGTTTATCCATCAGCCTGGTAGCCTCGAAGCTCCGAGCCATCCTCAGCTGATCCTATTACGTGGAGCGGCTCGCAGCCCAGTTAACTGATCTCGATCGGTTCTGATCAGCACTTTTGCACCAGCCCCAGCCGGTCCCGTGAGCAGCCTCTCTCCCTGTCTCTCTGGCCGCGCGGCTGTGCGCGGCTGGCAGGGGATCCCCTGTGCCGGGCTCGGCTGTGTTGGCCGGTTGGGGATCCCCTGTGCCGGGCTCGGCTATGCTCGTCGGCCGGGGATCCCCTGTGCCGGGCTCGGCTGTGTTGGCCGGTTGGGGATCCCCTGTGCCGGGCTCGGCTATGCTCGTCGGCCGGGGATCCCCTGTGCCGGGCTCGGCTGTGTTCGCCGGCCGGGGATCCCCTGTGCCGGGCTCGGCTGTGTTCGTCGGTCGGGGATCCCCTGTGCCGGGCTCGGCTGTGTTCGTCGGTCAGGATCCCCCGTGCCGGGCTCGGCTGTGTTCGTCGGCCGGGGTCCCCTGTGCCGGGCTCGGCTGTGTTCGCCGGTTGGGGATCCCTGTGCCGGGCTCGGCTGTGTTCGCCGAGCGAGTCGCCCTGTGAGGGCCTCGGTGCTGGTCGGCGGGAGTGCCCGGCGGACGGAGCGGGGATGGAGTGGGGATGGGGCGGGGCCGGCTGGCCGGTAGCGGAGGAGGCCCAGTGACCGGCACTACTGCCACCGGCTCACCTGGCCGCCAGGACCACCGGTCCGACTCGCCACACTGGGGACGCTGGTCCAAGCGGGCCTGCATTTTATCGACGACTTTACCTGACTTTCAACATTGACAGTCCGAACTAAGCGACGCGTCTGAAGAACGCTTCTGGCGCACTGGGTAGACTGTTCGAGCCGCGACTGTCCCCTCCCCCCCCCCCCCCATCCACGGTGCAAGGACAGCGAAGGCTACATGTTGCATGCAACCGGCTTCTATGGCACATGCAGGATACGGGCTACAGTGCTTTCGAAGCAGGAAAAGCCGCGCATCCGTCAGCTGCTTTCAAACAGCGTTTCGATTTCTACACGGACCGCCTCACGCTTCAGGCTGATAGAGAACCGTGTGAGGTCTGCGTGGCTCCACACAACAGCAATTGTTTCATTTCGTCGAAGGTCAACAAGATAATTCAAAACCGCTTTCATCTCAAATGATCTATTTGGTCTCGATATCTGGTACTTTCTAATGCGTTTCTGAAACCCAGTCGCAGCGGACGCATCACTATTACATCCGCCTCCACGCTGTGCGTGTTTGGATACGCTCATTTCTTATCACGCGCTTTCGTCACAAAACCGACGGTCTCGCCGCTGAGCCGTGTTGTATTAACGCAGGCCATCTGAAGAGACCTGGGAGAGCACCAGCGCGATCTTCACTTCATTTTGTTCCACGCGGCACTGGCGGGGCTAAGGCCACACGAAGTTCAGGGAAATATGAGATGTATCGAGGGACTGGGATCCTCCGCTCACCCCCAGCCCACCGCCCGTGCTCAGCAGATGTGGCCCTCGAAGTTCAGAGCTGATGAACAGAACCAGAATTGGTAGCCTGATATCTGTAGTGTCTGTTTTGTTGACATCTTTGGGTAGAGTGGCCCAGCAAACCCCGAGTATGCCTGGCCGCTGCTCACTCATGCTCTAACCCAAGTGGTATACTCAGACATATGTTGTCAAGTGCCGTGTCGGGGATCTCTGTGTATCAAACGTCGCATCACGTCAGCTCGTCTGACGTCATCTGACGTCATCTCAAACAGAGCTGACGTCAGACACCCTCCGAGATGCGTTGTGCCCACCTTTTCGGCCGGACGCAACCAGGCCTGCCGTCTGTCGTTCTCAGAACTGCCCTCCGCTCCCCTTCCCGACCGGATCCACGCGGCACCTAACGCGCGCGCGCTCGCGTTCCAGATCCGGCACCGGTTCGGCTGCTACGACGAGATAGCCGAGCTGCAGGGCCACCGCGTGCGTCACTGCAACTGGGTGCGCTTCATCAGACACACCAGCGTCTGCACGCCCGACGTCAACCTGGTCGGCAGCAAGTTCAGAGGTACGCCGCCGGACGCGCTTCGCGCAGGACTCAGACGTGGGGACAATAGAGGCAGAGACGGGGTGGAGGATCACACCCATCGGCTTTCTGCGAAAGCTTCGCGCTAACGTTGTGATGATGCATGAAAAATCGATTTTAAGACGGGGTTGGGTGGACGCACGTCTGGGGCATTCCTGCGTCCCTAGCGGACAGCGACAGGAGCTGGGCGTGGCGCCGGCCGACTGACGCTGCGAACGTGTGATCAGGAGGGGTGGTCTGGACGACTGACGCTGGGCTGCAGAGGGCGAAGGTTCGCGTCTTTCGGACATGTTGTGAATGAGGGGGGGGGGGGGTCATATCGCGTTATTTCCGCAGTCGAGTGGGCAGCATTCCTCGTCAGTTGCTGGTTAATTCTGTCACCCATTGTCTGGCGCTCGTCGACTTATCGCGTCCTCTCAAGAGAGTCGCCCTTCACTGTCAAGTAGGACATATTGCATTATGGCTTCTGAGTGACTCCGGTTAACCACCTGACTACTGGACCAAGCCTCAGATACCGAGATTAGCTCTGGCTCCGACGTCAGCGCGGTTTCTCCACCAAGGCTCCTGGAAATTCCTTCCTGCGACTCACAAAAAGTGTCACTCTCAATCGGCTATCAGCGCGGTCGAACGGCGGGCGCGCGCCCGGCGCCGGCGTCGGTCCAGCGGCCAGCCTTTGTCGCCGGCCCATCCGATCTGCAGATAATATTGTGTGGATGCAGGCCTTTTGTCCGAGCGGCGGCGCGGGCGTCGGCCCGCCGCCGCAGCCTGCAGCCGGCCGTCCCGACCGTGCAGTGCGCCGGGTATTGTCATCCGACGTGGTCGCGCTCACAGATAGACGATCAGCCTATTGAAAGCGACCGTCGTCCGCCATCGCGTTCGGAAGCCGCGCAAAAATCGCGGGCACAATGCCGCCGATGGCTATCGCACACCGGCGTCTGTGCGTGCGCGGTGGACACAGTGCGCAGTGCACGCGCTCGAGGGCACGTGCGGCCCAGCTCACGCGAGAGCGCCGTCGCCTCCACGGAGGACGCGGCCAGCAGCCGCCGCCAGCGCGCCTCGGGCTGCGCGGTGCCTCGATTCTTCCGCCGCGGATGCCTGCGGTGGCCGGTGGCGATGTTGTCGCCGCTGCCGGCGGCCTGCGCCGTGCAGGCTGCACCAGCAAGGTCGGCTCGTCCAGTTACCGGTGCCGCCGAGGTCATCAGGCGCGGTCCGCACCTCCGACGAAGAGGCGTCGGTGACGTCACAGGGGTGACTGGAGTCCGAGAGCATTGGAGAATGGAAAGAGGAGGCACCAGGCGATGGAAGTACTCTGTGGGTGTCTGTATCGTCTTGTACCTCTTCCACCCACTCGGTCGAAAACCTGATCTGGTCAAAAACAAGATACAAAAAAGGAAAGGTGTGGGTGTCTTATGCATCGGCCTTGTCAACACATGCAACGCGCTAAGCTGCACTCAGCTGGGTATATTAGAGACAGTAAAACAAGCACGCACTCACGCACACACAGATTAGCCGTGACGACGCACATAAGCGGCAGGTAAGACAGCATGCCGCGCTGACGGCCGTGCATGCGGCTGCGTACGATTCGGCTGAAACATGCGTTTGTTTCAAGCAACGCATAGGACAGACGCAATCATCGTGGGTTATGGTGTCCAAAGGAAAAAAACGTCGTGTAAGTAATGTGTTTGTCTGCGCACTTCGATGAATAGCTACCGAAGTGGTCACGCTTGAAATCTCAACGAAGTCCTGGACACTTTGAATTCCATTTTCTGCGCACGACGCTATGGATTCAAACTAATGTCTAAACTAAACTAAAAACTCATAGATAAGACAGCAGTATTAACCTTATTCCTCGGAGAAAAACCAGGCGAATGGAGATACAGTTGGGTTGATCTCTCGGCAACACGCCATAATCGAAACAATGACAGAGGTTCCGCTATTGTTTCGATAAAGGCACGTTGCCGAAATATCGACCCAACTATATCTCCATTCTCCTGGTTTTTCTCCGAGGAATAAGGCTAATACTGCTGTCTTATCTATGTTAATGACAACCTCAGCCCTGCTCGGTGCACCATTACGTTGCGCTACAAACATTCGGCGGCAAAATATCACTGTTCTGCGTTCTGAGAGCATTTAAGGCCTCTGTCTGTAAGCTCAGTTGGGTTAAATCCTTGCGTGAATGAGTGACTGCTTGCCAGCCGAACCAGCCACTCTCCTGTGTTCACGTCCACCTGTTCAGAAACACTTGTGGTTGAGCCCACATGTCTGCGACTGGCCTACATTTGCCAGGAACTCAGCGAGGCCGCGTTACGCTGTCGACATCTGGCGGGTGGGGGGGGGGGGGGGGAGGAGTTGTGTGTGTGTGTGGCATCCCATACGATCCCGTCGTCAGGGAAGCTTCCAGCGGCCAGAGCGCATCTGCAGCCGCAGTTCGCAGTTCCGGCGCGGCCTCGGACGGCTGCGACCGGTCCATTTCACACGCACACGGTCCCGTCACGACTCCCCTGCTCCGCACCTGAGCTACCTTGGTCTGTGAGGCGTTCTCATCAGGGCAAGGGAGGGTGATACCAACATGACTGCTGTCGACGGTATCATCACCTTGCATGCCTATGTCTATCCGAGGCGGTAGTTTCGCATTCAGTTGGAGGTATCTACCGCCTCCCCCTCAAACTTTTCTGTCCTCTCCATCTTCAAAAGAGGAGTTGTTTAAATCCGTGGATAAATTGGGGTTTAAGAGCAAACGCTTCCTCCCCGCATCAACTGATTTGGAAAAACTAAGTCCCAATTGCACATGCCACTGGCAGGCAGGAGGCTCCTCGCGCCCACGGTCTTCGTCAGGGGTGCGGCCAGTATGCTTTATGGGAGGGGTCCGAAGCTCGGTGAGCTCGCTCACACCAATTTCAGCCTCTCTGTCGGGAGTCATTCATGGTTAAAAAACTTAACATTCAGCACTACGGGGGGGGGACAGGGCCCCCGGCCCCCCCCCCACCTTAGTGCTGAATGTTGAGTTTGTTAACCATGGCTCTCCGTTCTATCATCCGGGTGGACCATGCCTGTCTCACAGACGTCGGCCCGACCCGGAGAACCTCAGTGCTGACCGGGGCTCTAGCCGCCGCCACTGCCCGAGCCTCAGTGCTGACCGGGGCCCTAGCTGCCACCGCTGCGGGGGCCGCAGTGCTGACCGGGGCCCTAGTCGCCGCCGCTGCGGGAGCCTCAGTGCTGACCGGGGCCCTAGCCGCCGCTGCTGCGGGAGCCTCAGTGTTGACCGGGGCTCTAACCGCCGCCGCTGCCGGGGTATCAGTGCTGACCGGGGCCCTAGCCGCCACCGCTGCGAAAGCCTCAGTGCTAACCCGCGTCCTAGCCGCCGCCGCCGCTGCGGGAGCCTCAGTGCTAACCCGCGACCTAGCCGCCACCGTGGTGCCCCAGCGCTGACCGGGGACCGCGCTGCCGCCAGGGGAACCGATTTACGAGGTGATCCGGCCCATCGCAGCTCACTCGGAGATCGTGGTGTTCTACCTGCCGGAGCGGCCGCAGGAGGAGTTCGTGCTGCCTGCCGTCGCCTACCTGCGACACTCGCTCTACAAGAAGACCATGTACGCCATCCTCGAAGGTAAGCTCACCGCTGGTGCCGGCTGTAGGCTGTTTGTCCACCTGCGACACTTGCTGTACAAGGAGACCATGTGCGCCGTCTTGAGAGGGCCTCTGGCCGCCGAGGCCGTTGTCGAGTTATAACACTTCCCTGGCTGTCGGCGTGCCTTCTCAGACTGGCCAGGTCACCAGAGGTGACCTTCTGCCCGGGTGGTAAAATGACCTGCAGTTCAGGGGGCCCCGAGGGAGAGGGCAGAATGGTCGACAAAAGCGCGCTGACTAGACTTCCCGCCTTTGCAGGCCATCAGGAGCTCTGAACAATGCTCATTCAGTATTGTGGGCAGCGTTCCGGGAATCTCCGTTAGTTGACAGGTCTTATCGCTCGAACTGTCAGGTGACAGCTTCGAATAGCCATAAAATGCATGAGGCATCTGGATGACGAGATAACAGGAACTCAAGAATAGAGCTAATGCTACTGGATGTCTGGTAAATGATAGCTGCCCCATTGTATTGAGATCTTATTCGGACTACAACTTCCCGCTAAAATGCGCCGAATGAATGCAGCGTCGTCCTCAAACCCGCCACTCGCGTCCGGATTTTCAGCCGACTTGTGACACCAATACCCACAGCGGCCAGTGCCGACCGCCTGCCCGCGCGCGGCGCGGTCACAGGCCATGATGTGGCCGTGCAGCTGGTGCAGCGGCCGGCGCCGGCGGCGGTGTCACGCGGCACCCGCGGCGCGCCGCTCCCGATCGCGGCGCGCCGGCGTCCATAAACCGCTGTCGCGCGGTCGAGTTAGAGCCGACCGCGTCGCCGCGAGTTATCGATGGCGCGGCTTTAATGCGCCGATCGGCGGCCGATAGCGACGCGGCACCATAAACCCACGGCCGGCGAGGCGGCGGCCGATACTGCACTGCAGCCGCGCCGCCCACCGCCGCCGCCGCCGGCGGCGGTGGCGGAGCGCTCGCTGACGCCCCGGTGCGGTCGGCGGACGGTGCCGCCGGAGTCGGCACTGCCCCGGTCACCAGCGAGCGCCGGCTGGCTGCCACCATTGTACGGTCGCCGGTGAGGGGTAACATCGGGCACGCGGCGCCCCGCCGGACCGTGCTATCAGCACGGAGCATAGTCGCCCGGTGCGACCCCGCGTGCGGTACCGCCGCCACCCGCGGGGAGGTGGGAGGGGGGGGGGGCATCGGTCGGCGGCGAGGGTGAACGCTCGCCCCCTCACCGCCGTGTGTTTAGGCCACCGCTTGCTGGACGGCGCCCGGCCGGGCCGGCGCAAAAACGAGCTCAGCCGCGCAGCCGCTTCAAAGTCGGCACAGAATTAATTAACAATGAGTAAAAAGGTAGATTAATCACGGGTAAAAAGCGGCAGCGGTGGCGCGGCGGCGGCGTCGGCGGCGCTGCCGCAGCGGCGCTGGATGCGGGCCGGGCCGGGTCAGGGTCGGGTCAGCGGCGCCGGACGATACCGGCCCTAATAGCCGGTCGCCGCCGCCAGGAATGTGCATAACAAGCACTCAACGCCGCCCAGAGCTGCCGCGCGCGCAGGAAGTCGGCACCAAACGATTCAGCTTATTAAGATTCCGCCGTTCGCGGGCCCGCATCGGTGGCAAATGTCAAGGTGTAAGGTTATAGATGGGGGCTGCGCCGGCTGCTTTTCGGCTTACATTGTGGCGCAAACATGCAAAGCTCTCTGCATCAGCATACGGGAACTGGCGTGATTGATAAGTTGTGCTGATTATGCCGGAAACAGCTTCGGTAAGCATCGGAAGCGACTGTTATTGTGTGACTTAAGTAGGGTCAAGAGGATTACATTCGGACGCCTCAATCTTCACGTGTTTCGCTCATCCCTTCTGGTGTGTAAGGCACGCGGGGAAAACGCGCGTCGGCAACTTTTTTCGAGCAGCCAGTAATTCGATCTGAACTTAAGTTGTAAGCACTCACGAAGCTAGTTGTGCAATATATGCACGCATGCTGCTGATAATCAGCGGTAGCAATTTTGTGGTACTGGTCTTCAGTATAGCTGTTCTCTGTTCGACGATAAACGGATGCACTCGTAAAGGAATTATCCACAGAGCTGGTAGATCAGTTCCAGCGTTAGTTTTTACCGGGCGCTGCTGAAGGATGCTTGAATTTTGCGAAGCAGAGCAGGCAAATCCATCCTCTACAAGAACTGCCTCAAGGAACTCGCGCATGCTCAGAACGACCCTTAACAGGATACACCGCAGCTGCGAACGTGCTGAAGCAGATCCGCCCCACAGCGCGGAGGCCCCTGGCCGGCCCTGACCTGCCGGCCCCCGTCCCCAGACAGCCCGCTGGACTTGTCACTGTCGCTGCTGTCGCGCCAGCGCGCGGCCGCCGCCAACCCCGGCCGCCGCCCGCCGCCCGACGAGCGGCGCGCCGCCTCGTCGCCAACGTCGACGGCGTCGACGCTGTCGCTGGGCGAGCCGGAGGCGGCGCGGCCGGGCGCGGCGCCGCGCCGGCCGCGCGAGCGCACCATGCTGCCGTGCCAGGTGTGCGGCAAGACGTTCGACCGACCGTCGTTGCTCAAACGCCACATGCGCACGCACACAGGTGAGGCCACGGCGGCGGCCACTGCCGGCGCGCTGGACGGGCAGGGCCCAGGCGACAGGATGGAGTGCGAGCGTTTCTCGCAGGAGACGGCCTAACAAACACGCGACTGCCCCCCGTAAATGTCGGCTTCTCTCCCGTGCTGGTGCTCCCGGAGAGGCCAAGTGCTGTTATCGCCTCATAGCGAGTTTGCGTTGAACGGAGTGGTCAGCCTTTCAACAAAGTTTTTGCCCTCAGATGTTGCCATTTGGAAGCTGGTGAGGTCGAGATTGTGCCCAATTTTAACGTTGCATGTCTTCGCAGGAGTATTTAGAACAGGTGGGGCCTAACATCCTGCGCGCGCCTCTCCACAGGGGAAAAGCCACACGTGTGTGACGTGTGCGGCAAAGGCTTCAGCACCAGCTCCAGCCTCAACACCCACCGACGCATCCACAGCGGCGAGAAGCCGCACCAGTGCGGTGTCTGCGGCAAACGCTTCACCGCCTCCAGCAACCTCTACTACCACAAGATGACGCACATCAAGGTAGGCAGACGCCGGTGGCAACCGACTGCAAGGCCGGTCCAGCTCCTCGCTGAGGTCATAGGCTCCCTGGCGGGGCGCAGGACGCGCCACCGCCGGCTGCGTGCTCTTTCGCCGGTCAGTGGGCGTGACTCCGCCGGATCAGGAGAAATACAACTCCTTCTTCGCTCGCTTTTTGAATGGTTATGGTAAGGACGGATTTCTCAAACGGGAAAATAACATGTCCGCTAGGATTTCTGGGGACGGTCATGCTCCTCCGTAATTTGAGGTGTGGTGCCGTGCTCTCCCATCAAGAGAGCGGAGCGAGCTCATCACGACACAGCTGCACGCAGCCGGCGGCCTACTAGCGGCGCTATCGGCGGCCGCGATGAATGGTTTTCCCGATGAATTCCTGCGTGACGTCACTAGCGCATAAGCGAACCTCAACCATAAAGAACCCGACCTTCCCATTCATAGAACTCGCCGACCGGAGGCACTCTCAGCCAGCGGAGCCCCTCCCCCTGGCCCCGTCCCGAGGGTGAGGCGGCCGGCCCGTGCACGTCCGGTGCCGCTGTCATTCCTGCGGCGCCGGCGTGCCGTGCGCCGTACTGCACGTGGCGGGGCGGCCCCGGGCGGTGCGGCCGGCCGCCGACCGCCGGCGCCCCTGCAGACGATCGCCGCATTCCTGCGCCGGTGCAATATGTGAGCTGGCCGACCGCGGCACGGGCAGAGGCTGCACAAGGAGGCGGCCGGGAGGCGGGACAGAGGCCGGCGGGACGGGCGCAGGAGAGGCTGGCGGAGGGGACCAGGGGGTGGAAGGGAACGAACAGCTCCGCAAGTGCCTGCTGAGGGCGTGAGGGGGGGGGAGGGTACATGACAGAGGGATAGTTTTCAAGGGGCAGGGAGGCGTTACGACAAAAGTGCATCACTGACAGGGAGAAAAGTGCGGCCTACACCATGCTGGGGTCTGAAAGTCATAGAAACGGAGGAGGGTGGGAGGTACCCGGGCTGCATGTGGTGTGGGCAGGGAACATGTGCCCGCATCAAAAGGCCTGGCCCTCAGTCGTTCTCCTCGCCGCCTCCCGCCTTTGGGCCAGCCGTCCACTTCACTACCAGCAGCCATAGTGGCGCTTAATGCATTGAACTGAGGCGTGGGCAGCAACCTGTCGGAGCGTTAATAACTGACTAGGCTTTGTCCGTGTTTTCACATGTATCTGTGCCATAATCTAGACTCCTCCCTCAACAGTTACAAGGGCGGCATTGTTGATAGATGTAGCCCAAACGAATTAGCCTCACCGCTGCCACTGCACGTGCCCCCGCTGGACCACGTCCGAAAGAGCGGAGGGCTGGGCTGCTGTCGGCTTAGGTTTCCCAGTGCAGCCCGTCACGTCCTTCGGCGCTTTCAGCCCCGCGCTGAGAGGCGCACGTCACTGGCAGACCGGTCGGCCACCGCACGGCGCGCCTCGCTGGTCACCGTGTATCGTATGTGCATTAACGGACACGGGGTGGCCGTGGTAGCCGTCCAAGATGACAAAAGGAAGGGCAGAGCTGGGGGTGGTTTGCAGCGCGTTTCTGTACCTTTGGGGGGACAATGCAGACGCCGGTCTTGATAGCCGCTCCAGGGACTGAAACAAGCGTCAGGTCTTGAGTGGCTTGCAGCGTTTTTGTATTTCACACGTTGCAGACACGACGAGCCCTGCATGGCCGAGTGGGGTCCGCGCACATGTCGCCCTGCGGACACGGTCCAGATGCGTCATTGCATGCGCATCAGCGGGCCCAGCGGCGCGAGACCCAGATGGGCCCGTGCACGCCTATCAGCGGACGCTGCAGACGCGGCCCAGATGGGTCGGCCGGTGATGTTGCACGTCCGAGCCGCGCAATCGTGCGGGCATCCAGATGAGACCAATCACGGCGCGCCGCTCGCTGACGAACCGTTCCGATCAGCGCGCAGCGGGCCCGCGGCCGGCTGGCCGGCCCGGGCGGCCCCCGTCCTCCGAGCAGGCGGCGGGGCGGCTGCCGGCTGCCACCGCTGGAGTCCTCGTCCTCCGAACAGGTGGGGGGGGGGGGGGGCGGCGCTGCCTGCCACCGCTGGAGTCCTCGTCCTCCAGGTGGGGGGGGGGGCGGCTGCCGGCTGCCACCGCTGGAGCCCTCGTCCTCCGAACAGGCGGGGAGGGGGGGGGAGCGGCTAGAACGAATGGAACCTGAGGTCCCTGTCGGTCGCGACGGGCGCCGGCGGCCTCCTCGGTGACGTGCAGCCGCCGCTGGTCGCCGGGGTTGAAGGTGTCGCCGCTCTCCTGCAAAGGCGAACAGCTCCCTCTGAGAAGGTCCAGCGAAGACCCGCGACCAGCAGGCGCCGCCACTGCTGATCATCGCAGGCTCATCAGTCCTCGGTCAACAGTCACGAGCCCAGGCCACAGTCCTCAGCCGGTCTCCTGGTGCGCGGCTTCATAGTCAGGCGTGGCTACTGATGCGTCGCAGCTCCCGGCTCGTAGTTATGCCAGAGGCAGTGGCTGAGACGGAGGGGCAGGCGGGAGGGTTACCACAGCTGCGTCAGGTTACTTTGATTGCAACCGAGCATACAGGCAACTCTTGCCCAGCCAACAGCAAATATAGGTATGAACAATGAGCCAGGATGACAGCTGATACCAATCTCTTCAATTCCATTTCCTGTTCGCTATGTTTTTGGGTTCTGGGACATGCACCGTAATAATGATCCAGACGAGGAAGAATCCGGAGGGCCTCGTTTCATCATCATTACATTTGTGAAGACAAGACAGAACACAGAGGAGGCGAGGTGAGACGAGAGGAGAGAGGAGAGAGGAGAGGAGAGGAAGGGAGAGGAGACTAGGGAGGGGAATAACGAGCTAAGCGAAAAATCGGGCATTGCCGCGGTGCTTATGAGAAGCCCGACAGCTATCCTGTTGTCCCGCACGCGAGAGACACGCAGGACAATTATTGTCTGGAATTTATTATGGCCTATGGGATCAGGCGAACAGTAGCGGGAATAGCCCCATTGTTTGGTGCTATGATAAATCACGTCCATTTAGGCTGGTCGGGCCTGCAGGCGTCGCCGTCGGCGGCCGGCGGCGGCGGCACCAGCCCGTAATGCCCGAGTGGCGCCGAGGGTTCGCGGCCCCGCCGGCGGCGCCGCCGAGGCCGGCCGGCGCCTCGCGCGCGCGGCTCGGACGGCACTGGGCACGGCACTGGGGATGGAACTGGGGACGAGGCTTGGATAGGACTGGGACGGAGCTGGGACGGGACTGGGACGGAGCTGGGACGGGCTGGGGAAGGGACTGGGACGGAGCTGGGACGGGGCTGGGGAAGGGACTGGGACGGGACTGGGAAGGGGCTGAGGCGGGTCCGGGGCGGGACTGGGACGGGTCCCGTACAGAGCTAGGGACGGGACTGGGACGGGACTGGGACGGGACTGGGACGGACCTCGTACAGGGCTAGGGACGGGACTGGGAAGGGACTGGGAAGGGACTGATACAGGTCCGGGACGGGACTGGGACAGGACTGGGGCGGGACTGGAGGCGGACTGGAACTGGAGCGGGACTCGGCTGAGAGTGCGGTGTGTAGGGATCCGGACGTGCCGGCCACAGGTTGCAGCAGATGAGAGCTCTGCTCACGCCGCTCTCTCAGCGCCAGATGCCGCGTCACGGCTGAGGAGGGGGGGGGGGGGGAGGTTTCGGCAAAGGCGTCTTCGCGTGACAAAGCCTGCGTGGACGTCGAGCATATCGTCACAGTGTACTGCACAT